TGATTTGTCTTGCACGGAAATTATGCAGCATGCAGTTTCAAAACCCTAAGCTCCAGGTAGTATATTTGCAAAAGACGTAATTTGCTACCAAATGCCTAAAAGAAAGTGCGCTTTAAACATGTTTTCAGAAAATACATTTGGATATGTAAAGCCACGAATCTCCGTGCGCATGAATGGACCGTACTGTAGCAAGAAAAGGGTAAAACCACGAGTGAAATATTGCTTCCAAGACACTCATTTTCCATCAAATCGTGACTGATGGCAAAAATTGGTCATATTTTGATATTCCTGAACGCAAAAAAGCCACATACAACGACTATCAGCATCAACACTAAATTTTAATACCCATGAAAGTAAAGCTATGCTAAGAATATGAGTCGCTGAAGCCAACTAAAAATGTTATTGCTGAATGATATCAACAACAATTAACTAATATAAGCCGAGCATCGAACAAAAAAGAGGAGAGTACGATGGCAGACATATTAAGGTGATTTCTTAACGTGGCAATGTTAGACCCCATGCTGCACAACGAGTGAATGAAATTTTGAAAGCACTTTGCTGGAAACTCCTAACCCCCGTGCCGTATTCAGTAGAAATTGCTTCGTCACTTAATCATTTGTCTCAGTCATTCCAATATGCTCTTGCTAAGCAACTTTTTAGTTCATATGAGGAAGTCAAAAATTGACTCGATCAATGAGTTGCTTCAAAATATCCACAGTTTTTCTGCCAATGAATTCACTTGTTATAGTAATGATAGGGAAATGTTTTAGCTGTTAATGGGCAATACTTTGAATGACATGTAAAGTTGCCTTACCCTTACTGTGTGGATTAGAATCCCGCCGAGGAGACAAGTTTTTCACAAATGGTTTAATATAAATTATTAAAAAACCTTTTAAAATATCTATGAATTACGTAAGCCTGGGAGTCATCTGGGGGATTCAAGGTGAATTACTTAGGAAATCCTGCCTGGGCAGTCAACCTACTGTATCAGATTTGGTGGATTCCAGACGTTGCAGTAGGTTGGACGGGTGACTTGACCCAACTGTGATTAAACTCGCGTCGTATGGCGGGGCCTGGTAGTTCAAGTGGTTAGAGCGTTGGCTGTAGTAAAGTTTTCCCCTTACTGCGTGGGTTCGAATGCCACCGAGGCGCCGAGTTTTTCACAGTTGGGTTAATATGAATAAAATATAATGAACAGTTTTTTAGATAAGCGTGGTTTTCTTTCACAAAAACGACCCGAATTAATCCGTCTCCGAATACTTCGACTGAGATTGAGAATAAGTCAAATTACCTGAGACTCTTATTCATCCACCTTCCCCGGGAGCATGATACACATTGATATTTACGAACTGTTTCGCTGTTCCTGGGCTGCAGCTCATCCATACTGTCGCATATCAATGAACGATCTACAATCAGTAACTATTCAAGAAGAAGTCAGAAACATTGGATTGGCCCTTTGTGATGTATTACCGGTCAGCAGCCAGTAATACTTCAACCTGGCATGGTCCGGAACTTCAAAAATGCAACTTTGGCGTCTGACGTTGGGTAGATTGCGAGGACAACCCAACTTAGTTCTAGGAAGGGGTTCTGGAGAATTATTGGCAGAGAAGAAAAAAGATGCTACGAAGTAAGGTGTACAGCCCTGGTTTTTCGATAGCAACTCACCTTGTCAGAGGACAGATTAACACCGGATTCTACAGTATGTAATGGTATTTACGGTTTAGCTGATTGACTGCTGTGCCCCTGATTAGCACTTCGGCAGTGAGCAGTGATCTGTGATCCCCACAGCAATTATCGCCTGTTTCCACTGGTTCTGCGACATTGTCTTGTGGCCATCATCAAGTAGACTTTCCGATAAATCGAGGAATCTGGATAGAAAAGGGGCCCTACCCGGTAGTATGTAACCCTCTGGCTAGATATGTACAGTTTGCGTATAACTATCTTCAGCGCATAATGGGACGCCTTTCAGATGTTGAAGACTGGCGGAATATTGCGAACATAATGGCGGACAAAAGATAATCGCCAGTGGTAGTAAGTAATACTGGCTAACTTTCAAAAACTGGTGGTGCACTGGACGATTGGAAAGCTTGCATTCAGTGCAATTGAGAACTGATGAAGAGGCAGATTTTGCAAACCGAATAGGAATATAAAAAAACGTGTACGACCCTAATACTCATTGTTTTCTTGGGCGGTATATTACTTTAACTGGACTGTCTGAACACGACCGTGGACGCAACCGTTAGATCGGTAATGAAACTCCTGCGAAAAATAAGAAACTTCACACGGATGCGGTCGAAGCCATGGTGTTTTTTTACTTTAGGTCCCTCGTCACTTCAGCCATGAGGGGACCAAGGGTCGTGACCGCAGCCGAACATCCGACGAACAAATCTGACGAGATTGGCAGGTTTTCAAAACGCCTTTTTTTCATTAAACAGCTCGAAGTCTAAGTGAAGAAGCTGGTTGGTCGAGCATCGGAGCACTTTGTTTATTGTTGTGAGCTTTCGAACTCCTGAAGAAGTCCATCGTCAGAGATAGTAGCTACAACATAACAAGGGACACTTTTAGGGTGTGTAAGCCAACCACCGACCAACGGCACAAGAGTGGAGGTGACTGCGCAGGACTCTGTACGCCGGCATCAGATCGATAAATCGATAACTTAACGTCCACCTTATAGCGCAGAACTGCGAGCAGATAACGTGCTCTTCAAAAGGATTGATGCTCAATGGGCTTGTCGTTTAGTCTGTTCTCAAAAACCGAGGTCCTAAATTTCGAAGTCACGACCGAAAGATCGGACACGGTATTGCGTTGACAGTTTTGTTATCATTAAAAGTGAAGTGGTCTCATAATTTGACAGAATCTTAAATTACATCTTCTAGACATCCGGTTTGCCGTTAAAAAGAAGAACCAGCCATTCTTCCTGTACCTCCTTGTCTGTTATAAGAATGATGGGACCTTAAAGATACGCAGAAAGACAGCCAACTCACGCCAAATCCCGAATGATCACCGCAAACACCCATGACCACACAGACGCATCTTTGTGCGCACACTCTAAAAAAAATTGATAGCACATTGCAAGAAGTTTAATGAAAACATGATCGGGCCAAAATTCCGCCGAGGCATGTTTGCAGCAGCTGATGTTCACGCATCTGCCTGGGAAAGCCATAGGATCAACAGCCAGGAAACGCAGGCTGCAGTGAGTGCAGCCCCATACTAGCGACGCTTCTGAATTCATTACCCGTTTTGGTCGACCTATGGAGATTTCTTCTGTTCACTAATTAAAGGCGGCAAGTATGTGACGGATCCTGAGACCAAGGGACCTTCTGCTACAATGCAAAACCTCATGCGTTGTGTATCGGGTCAGATGTCGCTCTTTCTAAGCCATATACGTTGGAAAAATTAATAATGGATAAGAAGAGACAATGCCAGGTAGGCTAGGGAAGGATAATTGATGGAACTACTTTTTTACACTAGCAGAACACCCTGTGCGATGTGGGCACACTTTCGTACTCGTGGATTTTAATATAAGTTACCAGCACCTGTGCTGTCAATTTAACAAATAATCACATATTTGTTACCAAAGGAATGGCAAAGCGAGACGTCGGTATCCTGGCACGTAAGTCTGGCGGTTACCAATCGTTGCTTGAGTCTCCCTGTGTCGTAGAAAAACACCTCAAGCGACGCAAGCGTGGAGTTCAAGGAAGGCGGTGTACAGACCTGAGCGGGCAGTAACAAAGACAGTGAGCGCCCCTGGGAACTTTAAAGGTGTGACCCCTTCCACGGATCACTACCCGTGGCTAACGTGTATCGTAAGCGCACAGTAACTTTAAGTGTTTTGACCAACAATCACCTAACCTGACCGCGAACGCTGTTGCATGCATGGACCTCGGCATGACCTTATACCACCACCCACTTGATTGGTAGCATGTAGTTAGCTTACTAAAAGAATATTCGTTTACATATCAAAGTTAACCACTCACTGGATTAGGGAGGGGAAGACAGCACACGCAGAGCTCGAAGCACGCGCAGGGAAGCAGGTGAGGACGACGTAATCACATTCTCCTCGTGACACAGCCACTCCCTGAATTAGTGGGATAAGGACGGTGCAATCACAACCGGAAGACCACGGAGGGGACCGCGTGGTTACTAGCAGTGCATGGCCATTGTAGTGGAACCGACGGAGTTCCTCACCGTCCGAGCAATTCCATTAGCAAGCCCTGGAAGCTATGCTTGTGAGAATTGAAACATCCGACGACATGAAACACTCCGTCCGACCGCGTGTTACCTCCTTGCTGATGACACACAGACCAACCAAATGTATTTCGCAGAGTGAGTCAAAGGCTATGAGGGAACTGAGGAGGGACGACAGCATTATCATTCTACCTGCTGACAAGGGACGATCAACCGTCGTGATGAATAGATAAGACTATAATGAAAAAGCTAAAGCCCTTCTTGATGACAGAGAATTTTACAGACCAGCACAGAAGTCACAAGCCAAAGCAGTGGCAGATCGGCTGAGTAAACTGCTTAGAGAATACCGACATAAAAATGTGATCACGGAGAATGAATGGCACCAAATTAGGGCAACTGACACCGCTCTAGCCCGATTCTATGGTCTGCCAAAAATCCATAAAGCAAATGTCCCACTTCGGCCAATCGTTGCCCTAAAAGGCAGCCCCACCTACAATTTGGCAAAGTGAATGTACTCAAAACTGAAGTTCCTCCAAGGCAATTCGACTACCTCAGTTCGATCAGCCTCTCAATTCCTCATAGACCTCCGAGGTCGGAGAATTCAATCGGACGTTCAATCGATGTGACGTCGTTATTCACATCCATCCCACCAAACGTGGTCCGCGAAGTCTTGCGCAAGAGACTTGAAGAGACGTACGATGAGACTCAAAATGCCCACAAAATTGAACACCTAATGAGGCTGTTTGAATTCTGGCAACAAACTTTTTTTCACTTTTGCGGGAGAGACCTATGAACAAATCAAGGGAACCCCAATGGGCTCACCGGTCTCCGGTTTGGTGGCAGAACTGGTCCTACAGGAGTTAGAAAAGACTGTCGTCCTTCAACATGAACCGGTGATTTGGCGACGTTACGTTGACGACACGTTCGTCATCGTAAAGAAGGACATGCTGCAACATTTCCACAGCCTGCTCAACGCAGTCTTCCCGGATATAGAATTCACGAGGGAAGAAGAACAGGAACAGCAGTTGCCCTTCCTGGATGTTCTCGTTAGACGAAACCTTAACGGTGAACTTGAAACGACGGTTTATAGGAAGGCAACGAACACCACATAGCTTCTCAGTTTTCCCAGCAACCATCCGGTGGCTCACAAACGAAGCTGTGTGAAGACGCTCTTCAAACGGATACAAACTCATTGCAGCAAACCGGAGGACAGAGCACGTGAGGCCCGTTATCTCCGCGACCAGTTTGTGCAAAATGGCTTTCGGAGGGCATTCATAAGTCGCTACCTACGCGGTCGCCACCAGAGAACTCGAACATCAACACCACCGACGATATGGCATTCTCTGCCATACATCAAGGGTGTTTCAGAAGCGACCGAGCTCATTGCTGCGGAGCCAGGTATTGGAATTGCACACCGCCCCAAAGCCACCATGCGCAACAGGGTCATGAAAATCAAAGACCGGTTAAAACCTGAAAAGCAATCTGGAGTAGTGTATCGCATCCCGTGTCAAAATTGTCCTTGTAACTACACAGGACAGACTGGACGGATGCTCGGATCGCGCATACACGAACATAAGCTGGCTGTGCGGCGAGGCGACGCATTATCACAAGTGGCCGCCCACACCTACGAAATGGGTCACCAGTTTGATTTCGCAGCCACCAAAATAGTCGCCCACGCCGGAAACAAAACAGGCCGAGAATTGATTGAAGCCTGGGCCTCAGATGACAACTCGGTCAATCGATTTATCGATCTGGCGCCGGCGTATAGAGCCGTTCGTAGCCACCTCCAGTCGTGCGACGTCGGTCGATGATTGGGCCTACGTGCCTTATAACTGCCGCTTGTCCTGTTTCTGCTACTACCTCTGACGATGGACTCCTGTACGAGTCTGAAAGCTCAGAATAATAAACGAATTGTCCCGGTGCTCGACTCTTCTTCTTCTTCAAATTAGCAAGTCTTCCTGGCCGCTAGCTGACTTAAGAAAATAAAAAAAGGTGCAAGCAGGACCCGAAACACGCACAGGGAAGCACGTACTAACTGATGCCTGAAGCAACCAAGGCTGACGCATAAGCGCTCCTCCCCAGCGGCATTGTCACTGGATGTATTAAAATGGTAAGAAAGCTGCAAACCGTGATATTTGTAAAGTCGGTGTATTTGAATATACCAAAATTATTTTAGAGAGCTAACCACATGGTATCAATCAAGTGGGGCTGCAGAACCAAACCTCACCCCCTTCTTTTCATATCTAGGAAAGTGTATGTTTATCGCCGCTGGGGTTGCTGATTTATTGAAACGCGAGGAAGAAAAACTTCTTCAGATGGACGCATTTTAGACGATTTGGAACAGTCAGTCATCAGTTTAGGTATCTCTTATAGGCAAAACATCAGACACCGCGGTTATGAGAATCCTACGGGATGCTTAACAACTTAAATTGATACCTCCCAGTAAGCATACCAAACTTAAATGGATGAAATTATCAGCCAGAAGGAGGGTTCAGAAGTTAAATAAGACAGCCGGATTCAACAGGGGACAGCCACAGTTGATTGACTGACCATATAATTAATTTTCATCAGGAGCCAATCGATAAAACCCTTTGGCCAACTTGGGGCGTTATTTCGTTGAGCGAATGTCATCCAATACAGTAAACTGAGACAGCGCTTGTCACAGTTACCGTAATTTCATAATTTCGCCCTTAACAATATATGCCGAAACGCATAAGACAGTAAATAAGTTTTTTGGCGTTTGGCAAACCCCATTATCAATGATTCAACTTTCTGGACTCTGGTTCTGAACCTTTCAAATCCATCCACAAATTTTACATAAGACAAATATTTATTTAATTACTGTGCATTTTCCAAGTCGGCTCTCGATATCAAAAAATGCGAAAACATTTATAGACCTGCACCAGTTTAAGTTATCATATTCATTCCTTAATTCCGTTAAATGCCCGGCTTCAAGAAGACGTAACAAACCATGAAACCAGCACATAACGGGTATTCTACCACGACCAAAAGCACTTCAGAAATACAAACCTGTTAGAATGGGATCGTAGACGTTTCCAAGCTTAGTTTCCGTAGGTGACCCGAAAAATGTTCAAGCAAAGTTCAACATACTACTGCATACGAATATAGTTTTGAGTACACTGAAGTCTAGTCAGTTTGGAAACCTTATCTGAGTATCTGATAGGACACGGCCACTGTGTCATTGATTATGACGCAAGTCACAAATGTAACTTTCTAAACTTTCACTTGCATACATAAGGGAAGAAAAAACTCAATTTTAGGCAATCATAACAAATGCTGAATGAAACTTAACGTTTTTTGGAGAAAGATTAAAAAAATAGTTATTTCAAATCGACATTGCAAACTTAAGGTGGAGATCAAGAACCCACCATGCAGTCTAACTGATTTATCTGTTTCGAGACCATATATAAACTGCCAAAGAATTACTCTGTAGTAACGTCTATGAAATGTTCAGCACTCACAAATCATGCATGAGGTGGAACATGTAAAATTGCAGAAGCATACATTTAATGGTCATTTTTTCCTGAGACTTCAACTCACCTAGCTTCTTCTAAAACCCCTTTCATAGTTTTAACCATTGAGGCCTAAAAATCTTCTTATACACAGGCAGCGTTGTAAAATACCTAAAAGCTTCATCAAGAGACATGAGGACGCCAAAACCGTCATTTCTGGATTGTTTCCTCTCATCAACCCGTAATGCGGAATGTGATCAAACCTCCGGCGTACGGATTTTAATTGAAGTGATGCTAGCAAATACGCAATGAATGGCCACTTCAGCGTTCATGCACCTATTGGCATTATTTTCCGACTATTGATTCCTAATTGCCATGTGTCCCCTACCGGGGACTGTTGCCCATTAGCTCCAAAAACGAAAATATTCATTTCGGCTTTGTGGTCTAAAAGGAGAGAAGTACGCCACCCCAGTACCCCCCGAATAATCCCGACCGCTATTCCTACCGCTTCATTTTGCTATCACCTGTGTCCAACCTGTCCCGAGTCTATACCACCGACAGCCCGCTCACAAATCATGTCGTTCTTCTTTATATGAAACGTTATTACACTCTGTGTTAGTGATTCGACACTTATGTCAAACTTGTTTTCAAACAGACAAGGTCACTAAAAAGCCTAACGTCTGTAATTAATAAGTTCCTTACGTTCTAGCTTTATTCGGAAAACGATGCCAAAGTTCACAGGGATCCTTTCCAAAGTACATCTAGGATGAAATCCCTTGTTCCTCAGTCATTGAAAACTTCAGATAAGTAGCCCTGTTGGAACATCCCATAGGGAAACGGGAGGGTTTTATTTCTACAACATTGCTTTTCGGCATTTCGATTTCTGAAATCAATTCCTTTAAAAGACAGAAGAAGCTTCAGCTTACATGTAAGTGGTAGTTTCACTGAAATTGCTTAAAAAAATGCCGAGATCGCGTAGTTTATAGAGTCGAAAATGTTTGCTACCTGTCCGATGATATCGAATCACAGGCACGCAGAATTCGCTTCAATTGCCTAAGCCCTGATTCTTTAATACTAGGCTCATGAGAATGTGCGCGTGCATATTACTTTGGAGACGTCTTTAACGATACCCCGATATGTCGTAACGACGTAATGATACTTTTAAATTAGATAGCTTAAGGATTAAGAAGTATACTGTGAAGATGTTTGACGAGCAGATGAGCGTTCCGACTTTATGTAGATGAGGCTATCATCCTGTTTAAATCGAACTGGAATCGTGAATACTCCAAATGTCAGCTAGCGGGGCTCCCTCGATTCGATTTGAGCCTACTAACTCTGCCTGAGATCACGCGTCATCGGAGTTAACGAGATGCCGAATGCGACCGAGTCTTACCTCGGTAAACATCTCCAGATGGTGTGTTTTGATTTGGCCGGCTTCCTTCTGAGCTAAAGAAACATATTTTGGCGGTTACTTTGCCAACTAGTGGGGTAAAACCCAGTCCGTTGTTCTTAGATTGCATTTAAAGCGCACGTTTAAACTTTGTATGATACTTGCCTTTACCCTCCTAGTTATCAGAATACAACAACTTCCGTGAGCCCAACGTGACCAGAACTAAAGTTACTGAATCATCGAACCTGACAGCCGTCTGGCGGGATTAAACTGGTCTACGTCGACGTGATGCCTGTCGAATAGGGGCAGGCCACTACTATTCAGTCAAAGTAATCCTAACTCGCTGAAATGTCACGCACGTAGTACATTTACCTCGATGTTCCTCTGTGTCTCCCTCTAAAACTTCAGTTGATTTAGTAGAAGTTTGTGTTTTATCAGTAAGTAGTAATCAAGTGTAAATATCCCGTAAAGATGGCCCCTACTACAGTTACGAGACAGACCGAATTCCAAAGAGCAGAAGCGACTGCTAAGAAGATTGTTCGAACATTGTTATGGCAACTCTAAATGTAACTGCTAATTTGCGTATATTTATAGTCCTTCAAAAATGAATACTAGAGCTAAACGATATAGAGGGGATATAAGTACCCCAATGGTTAGTTGTGACTAATATTCCTGCCCTGCAGAGGAAATGGACTGGAGCACGCCGCCCCAGTACCCCCCGAATCATCTCGGTTGCTGATCTTGCTGCTTTACTGTCATCTGCGTCTAGCCTGTCCCGAGTTTATACCACCGACAGCTTGCTCACAAATCACACCGTTCGTCTTCACATCAGACGTTGTTATAGTCTGTGTTAATGATTCGGCGCTCACGTCTGATTTGTTATCCAAACAGACTGTGGTACGCTTGGGTGCGTCTCCGGCCGTGCCAGCCACCGGTACCCTCTCCCGCCTTCGGTTTCCCTCATGCGGGGGGAAGGTGAGAGTGCGGTGGACGCTGTGCAAGTAAACTACCACTGTAAATCAGTTCATGCACAAGCTACCATGCCTACTCTCACCCTGCTCTGAAGCACACCGTAGACATCGCCGGCAACGACGGCCAAACTGTCAGTTGTGTTGTACAAAGTAAGCGTTCGACTCGTCGAAAGGATAAAATTCTGTTTTTTGTTTAGCTTTTGCTGTCAAATATTCCAGTGAGACTAACGAACGCCTGTTTTGCTCAAATCCGTCTGGTTAACCCGTAAAAAATTCTATTGCACGCTGCTTGTGTCAAGATTGAGGCATAACCTTTATTTATAAAAATCAGGCAAAATCTGTTTATAATCACTTCTTGGATTTCTTCTCTTTCTTCGGCTTTTTCTCCTTCTTCTCCTTTTTATCCTTCTTGTCCTTCTTGTCCTTTTTCTTCTTTTTTCCACCCTCCTCTGTGCTCTCCTTTGTTTCCGGATTGTTGGCGTTTTGCCTTACGGATTGGGGATCTTTTCGGATAAAAAGAGAGAGGATGCCATCAGCCATTGCATTCTGAAAGAAAATGATATGTACAATTAGACATGTTTCTCATTTCTGGAAAAATCCACAAATCGTTGACAAATGGTAGCCTGTGAGCCATTGTCTGATACACATTAGACAGGAGCCTGTTTAATTTCACTGACTGGCACCACCTGAACTGGCAGTGAAAATGCCTTAAAATAACTGATAATTTCAACGTAATACCTACTGAAATTTGGAAGGGACGACACGGTACATTGAGATCCCCTAAATTTGGTATTGTTAACATTAGGGATAACAAGCAGCTTACTTCGACCGCCAAATGATTCTTGTAACTCTTCTAAAAGGCACTCAGTATGAACTATTCTGTATGATTACTGGTCGTGATAGCAATAGACCAGTAGGTAGGGGGCATAGCTCCTAATCGGCAGCTTTGCAGCCCGTGGTCAATTTTGAGGCCAATTTATATCAACATGATCTTTACCTGGATGGAGAACATCTAACATCGTATATGCATTTCCATGTTTACCACAATTTATCAGGAAAATGACTGCCAACGCAGAGCGGGCGATTAGCATTGAATTGGACCTTCCATAATGACATCCCAGTCTACACCTTTGCGTCTGTTTGCCGATTTTACGATCACAATTTAAATGCTGCCACCTTTAAAGCTCTCGTTGTAAAAGTAAAAGGTTAACTACAATGCACTTCTTAAAAATTATGCTTCCGTAAATTTTTAAGCTAAATGTCAGTTCACAATTATTGCATCACGCGTATCACTTAATCGGGTTGTCAGAAAAGAGGTACATAATTTTTCCACCCTCCATAAAATTAAGCAACTAACGCTCGCAGACACATCAAACAAGAGGCCGTCTGGATGTAACAGAAAAATCATTTATCGTAAAGCCATAGTCGCTTGACACTTCTTTAAGCCTTGACTGATGCTTTCGACGGCCCTTGGAATTAACTATGATTTAATTAGGGAATCAGAACGGTGTACTTTGTTACAACCAACATCATGTTAGTTTGCCTGAACGGTTTAGAAACCAGTTAGGAAATTAAAGACGGTGGAATAGTCAACTTACGGCATCCGAGGAAATTAGTTCTGTGCATACTGCACCGTTTGCTGATGCCAGAGACTTGAGATCCTGGTTGGAAACAAGAGTCCGCTCGTTGCTGCCACGGTACTCCAGACCCACGCCCGCGACCATTAGATAGGCATTTCCTGCCTTGATTTTGGCCGAGTTCATGACCTAAGTTTCGATTAAATAACATATACCGGTTCGTACCTGCTCCTTGAGAAAACTGTAGCTTTGTGGAGAGCGCATGTCGTAGACACAGAGGACACCTTCATAGCTGCCTCCAGGTGCGACTTCCGTAGGTCCGTTCATGCCATTCTCAACGTTCAAGGTCACCTCGGCACCGTCAGTGTCCGTTTTTAACTTTCCGGACTATGAGGATTTAAGGGAACTTAAGTCTGGTATATTCTTCTTACCTGAGATACCACTTTACGGACTGTTTCCTCATCACCACAGACGGCAACCTTCTTCGTCACATTCTTGGTTTGATCACGTCCGTCCTCATCCTTGCCTTTTCCCTTATCCTTTTTACTTTTCTTCTCCTTTTTCTGCTTCTTCTCCTTGGGCTTCTTCTCTTTTTTCGCCATAACGAGGCCTCTGTACGTCGACCGATTAAGGTGGCTTTCAAGCAACTGCCTTGTTTATATGATAAATTACAGAGATGGGGCGAGGGTGAGCCATGAGGCTCATTGGGAGACGATATGATTGGCTCGTCTATCTCCCTCACTACGTAGACGACTCACATCTGTCGTGTCTTCGATCCAACGCCGCAACCAATCGCAGATTTTATCGTGAGTTTACTGTGCGTGCACCTGCTTCTGTGACCAAAGGCGACTGAAATTACATGAGTCAGGTGTTTTCGATCTATGGAGGAGGGTGGAAACAGACCATTAACTACCTGTGATGTGCCTCCTACGTCTTCTAATACATCTTTAGGGGCACACTTGTCATTCGGACTAACACAAAAATCGTTGGATACGATTAAAGCCTAAAATATTTTCCGTGAACGTTGGCGCCGTTCGCTACCACCTACATATTCCCACGCATTTTGCTGAAGGCAGAATGCGCTATAGTCTCCATTGACAGAGATCATCTGGTTTCCTCACTGGAACAATGAGTATTTTTTAAAAAATTTGAAGCATTTTATCCCCCCGTTTTAAGCTGAAGTAGGCAAGCAGGGCGGGATTAAATCGTACAAAAATATTTCGCGACGGCTCGTCAGCTGTGTCATGTCGCTTCATAACATGGATAACAAGTGGGAAGAATACAACAGATTTGAAGTCGTGCAGGAAATCAAGGCGGAAACAGCAAGGTCATGGGTTTGTGTAAAGCTGGCTAATCGATAAAGATAGTAACTCAAACACCGTAGGGGAAGAAAGTGAAAAAGTCACAGAACATTCCGTTCCGAAAAAGCCCGTCTTTATATCTTTGCCCCTTAAGGACAACAATGTATTAAATACTGTCAAACGACGGCTGCGTTCCACCACTGAAAGGACATACAATCCAGCCGAACTAATATTATGCAGTCCTACTAACCACAGCCGATTCCAGGAGCAAAGGATGCCTTGCCAATGCACGCCACTTCAAATTTTGTTTATGAATTCACATGCACATGCGGATGCAAGTATCTTGGGCGAGCTCAAAGGCAGTTGGCAGCCAGGTCTATTGAGCACCTGTCCAGGTGGCTCCTAAAGCAAGAAAATAAAATCCCGCGTTCCTCGATCACGAAATACCTGCTTGATAGTGGTCACTCCGTAGACTCCAAAACTTCCTTCCGAGTACTTTTTCGGGCACGAAAAACCCGGACATTGCGATACCTAGAGGCGGCCTATATACGACGGGTAAAACCAGATCTTTGTAAACAGTTGCAACACCTGGTTAACCTAAGATTGCCATGGCAGCTTCTAGCTCCCTGATTTCCCCTTCGCCTTTCACTTTTTGCTCGTTAACGCTCCCCCTTTTTTCACTTTCTTCTCCTTCGGTGTTTGAGTTACTACCTTTATCGATTAACCAGTTTCACATAAAACCATGACCTTCCTGTTTCTGCATTGATTTTCTGCACGAATTCAAATCTGTTGTATTCTTCCCACTTGTTATCCATGTTATGAAGCGACAGGACACAGCTGACGAGCCGTCGCGAAATTTTCCGATACCATTAAATCCTGTCCTGCTTGCCTACTTCAATATTGTGTAAAACGTCCAAAGAAAGCATATTTGCTTAGAGCAGGGAGCCGGACCTGAAAGACCCGGTGTGTTGAAGTGAGTTGTTGTCATGTGGGCACAAAAACAATTGGTTTAAAAGACATTACTTTGAAACTTAGGGAGGCTTGTGTGCCAATCAGGTTGAAGGTTTACTTTCGGCAAGGAAACAAGGCAAGATCCCAGTTCGTAGCCTTATCTCTTAGGGTTTGGGGTTAGGGGTTAAGGATTAGGGATTAGAGCTAGGGGTTAAGATGGAATTTGTCTACTGCAGGTACGGCTACGAAATAAGATCCGATCGGAAACAAATGTGGGTTGTCGCGCCCTTCAGATGGCCATCTCAGACTTTAGGTCAATATCGCACGCTTTCAACCCAGATATTGCGTAGGACAAGACGGCTTCATGTTTGAGTGTTGTGCTGAAGTAGGCTTGCGTTGAATTTGTCGCTTTCCATCTTACCCCACCTACCGAGTTTCGATAGACAGACAAGGTCCAGACGACCGATAAGATCATGGCTGCAGGGGTTAATAGGATCAAGCAGCCTGTCCGAGCGTATCGCGCACGACCTGGTCCCTGTGTGAACACGTGCCAGGCTTCAGCGAACAATCGCAGTACTGAGTGGGACCCTGTCACTCTGCCGGATGACAGTCTTCCTAACCAGGGGTGTTGTCAGTTTGTGATAGGTTCAGGCACGTCCTACTTATTACATTAAAGAACGAAATGAGACGTCACGAGGAGGGGTACTTCAGTACTGATCTCGCTCTCATCCCTCACTCCTTCAGGTAGCAGTTGTCTGTCCGCATCTTCCTTCAGACTGGTGATAAGATGGTGTGTAGTGATTGACGGGTTGTAAGCCTCCACCTGACCCGTGCCACACGTTAATCCGACCGTCGTACCCGACGTTGTCCGCTGGCGGAAGAGGGCGCAGATGGGTGGCGCGGTTGAGCCCGCACCTTGGCGCTCCACTCCACACCTCCTGGTCGACACAATAAATAACCAGATTTTTGCACAACACACACATACACACACGACACTTCGACTGTCGTTGCCGACGATGTTCTCCGTGTGCTTCACAGCAGGCACGGTGACTTGTGCGCGAGTTAGTTCATAGAGGTAGTAGACTTACACAGCATCTACCGGAGGCGGGCGAGGGCTCAGGTGGATGGCACGGTCAAGCCCGCACCTTGGCGCCCCACTCCATACCCTCTGGTCCACGCAGCAATTGACCAGGATTTTCACCAACGACAATGGGACGGGTTGCAGGGTTCCCGGTGTGCGCGACGTCTGCCGACAACCGGGTCTGCAACCGCACCCCGAAGTTTTGGTATTTGTTATAGTGCACATTCTGATAATGCCTGCAAGAATGCGATATGGTCCCCATGTCGGCCCAGTGCATCTATCACTTGGCCAAACTACACAGGGGTAGATCACACCCGTCATTCTAAATCCTGGATGTTCAAAATTCCTTCCACCCTTGATACGTTTTGAGATTAGCTTAGGTATGGGTTTGGTAAATTGTCTAGGCCTCCATGACGTAAATTAATGTTACCAGAATAGCAGGCACACATAGTACGACTTTTATTTTGGAGCGGATGACACAGCGATCCCCGACTTAGTGTTGAGGTCTACCAAACGCCTGGGTGACGGTAAAGATCGGAGCTACAAATTCGTCATGAATTTCGATGGTCGAGGAGATAGTTCCACTCATTCAAGACAGTTGCTTTGCCACTGCAGTGACTGCCATAGGTCTAGATCATTTAACGGCCGGTACCGGTCGCTGCATGACCGTCGTCTTTCACAAGTAGAAGCAAGTTACGCACATGTCTGTTCCAATCGACATGCTCAGTTCGTAGTCAGCGGCAAAGAGCGTGTCAGCGTGCGTATGACTTTTGCTGTCCGTCAGCAGTGAAGGGCATTTGAGTTTGTCAGAGGTTTCAGTAAAGACGCAACTCTGCCTTATCCTAGTTCTCATTAGGAAATCCCCAATGTTGACCGATTTTCTATGGCGCATTCTACCATGCCATCTTGAAGCTGACTGGCCATCGGGACATGCCCTAAAAGACATCCGCAATTCCCAATCATTCTTCATAGCTGCCGGTCTGCTCCCGGATTTGCCATTTCTCCTCCGCTTTTACTAGGCAGTGTCGCCGTTGAGAGGCCTTAGGTGACGTAGGCTGCCCTGAAAACTGCGAAGTTATTGATTACACCTCGATCTACGCACCCTTAGATTTCATCTGCCTTCCCATCCGCCAGCTGTTTTGCATCTTCCACAGCAGTCAAAGAACACGGTTGAGTTTTAGGCAACGTCACTGCTTACGTAGGTCATGTGAACTTGACTATTTTCAGACACTGTCGCTGAATTTCGCCACTGACGCCATCGAACCCGTCTGTCAATTTCGGCATGAAAGCTCGCTGGCATTAATGATAGTGATGTAAATCGCGCCTAGCAGGTTCTGCCAAGTTCTCCCAGCGTGGGCATTTTTCAGTTTCGTGGTCATTTAATTGGACAGTTTCCGTCTGCCTTCAGTCAAGTCAGGATAGATCGCGCGCAGTTTGGCTGGTGCCCTTGCCTTTTGAGGCCAACTCCGTGACGGGAATTGCAGCCTCATTTTCCGGATGAGGAGGCGGTAGCAGACACATTGCTTGATGGAATCGTTTCGATGAAGTGCTTTTGACCCATCTGGCAGATCCCCGTGGTGGAACAGCTGCGCCAAATGTGTAAGCGCACGTTTGTGTTTCCGGTTCCAGCTGGTGGTTAGGGTTATGATTGGCTGAATGAAAGCACAATAAGCCCGAAACAGTACTGTAGCAATCTATCCCCCAAACTCTGTCGCCTCTCCTTTGCTATCTTGGCTTGGCCGACTTCGGCCCGCTAAATGGTTGCCTGCTCATGAACCTTCCCCCATACGAAGCTTGTTTGCTCTGGGAAGCCGCTGGATCGGTGTGCACCCATTCCTGAGGTAATACATATATACATTGCGTTACCCAAATCATTAAATGTGCCGAAATTTACAAATGATTGTCAATCACTCTCAACCCGACACCATTTCATGAATCCAATGTCTGTGTTAATTAAACACCAGTTTAAAAGCATTAAAAACATAAAAGAAACATTAAAGACAGTGTTGTGTTGCTTAGAAATACTGAATTTTTTTAGAAAATCGCAATATCCCGAAAACGCCAACATGTCCCCGATTTAGTAAACTTCGTTTTTAGATGTATTGACTATGTTTGTATACCAAAAGCGTGGTAAATTTGAAAGTATAAATAAAATAACACTACGGGTGATATATACAGGGGGCACAGGGGTAGAGTGAGTATGGCTCGCGGTTACAGTGTTGTTGGCTGATGAAGGGGTAGTTGCAGTTGGGGTTTGCGGGCATGGGAGCAGAGGAAGTATACGGGACGGAGAGATAGAGGGTCGGGCAGGTGGAGCAGGGGGTCGGGGACCACAGGGTTCATCCGGAGGAGTGTCCGGGACGGCAGATTTGAGACGGTGATAACACGAGTGGCAGGTCCTGGAGTTGGTGGTGGCAGTCGGAGGTAGCGTGATAATGGCGGAGCGCAAGGAGACGCGAACTGCAACAGTGCCCTTGCCTTTGAGGCCATCTCCGTGGCTGGAATTGCAGCCTCATTTTCCGGATGAAGAGGCGGTAGCAGACCCCATCGCTTGACGTCACTATTCGTCACTGTCACGAGCATGTCTCGACAATCCTATCTCTAGCCAGGCACATGCCTTTGTAGTTGCAACTGATGGGATCTGTAGAGGCAGAAGAATAGCTTTGTTGTTCTCCGCAGATCCTCAATAGGAGTCAGTAAGAGTTACGGGGGTCTGCTGGATAGCAACTACGCCTTCTTTCCTAATTGGCATGGCTAGGACCTACCCGGGTGTCGAAGTCATCGAAGACAATCAGTTTGTCCACTTTAGACACGAACGCGGGGAACGTGTGTTGATTTTGTGGAACTCCTCCTTCGCACTGTCACTGCCTGCCATTGTAGGGACGTGCGCGCTAATTATAATGGCAACTTTCTTCTTCAGTTGCACTTTATATGATATAATGGAGACCGGTCGTTTTAAGTTACCTGAGTGAGCGAGGTCACTCTGTCAGAGAATACTGAGCCGTTGCTTCGTACAATGTTTCGAACACGAGTTTATGTACTAAAGAGGCGGTCAGATTGCGGACGGTGTGATTACCAGCAGTCAGGCCCATCTCTGCTTCTATACTCCAAGATCTGGTGGTCGAAACCATCGAAATATCACAGCAAAACAAGTAAAACAGGGCGAAGAATCTCCGTGGACAAACCTACATCCTTCAAATCCTGAGGACTTGCGTCAACGTACTTCGCGTTCGATGAAACCATTGACGAGCATTCGAAAAGGACGGCAAAGCGTTCACCAAATTCTGGCTTAGTAGCCTAGACGATAATTTTTCGGCTCGGTAAGTTGGCGTCGCCTTTGTCATCATCACAGGTGTCCAAGTTATGACATGATTCCGAGACATACAACCTACGAAGAAGGAGGTTGGGAACAGCCAAAAAGCCTTCCTCCATATCGTCGTTCGTCGCAATGATTGCGGCGGCCTTAGAACCAAATTGTTTTATAAAGCGGTGAACACGACAGAGTTACTGACTTTCCACAGTAACTACGCCAATCAGTCGCAAACGCAGTTGGATGAGGACGGTCTATCGTGTATTAAGACTTCGTTCACTGGATCGGAAGACAATTCTAATGAATTACAATACCTAAGACGGGTTCTCAGTGTGAATGGTTATCAACGCAGCTTCATCAACCGATGCGCACACGGACGAGACGAAGGACAAATCTCCACCAGATCCCAAATTTTGGGGAACGTTCGTACGTCACAAAAGCCAGTAGTCTTCTCCATCCAATAGGATTTCTTGTCGAATGCAGACTAGAGATCCGCTACTACGACAGGGAACATCTGATTCAGTATATCGCACGTGGTACAGTTGCAGGCAAAGCAACTATGCCAGAGAAACGACCTCTGAATGATAGAGCAGGCCTAAACAATGGGGATAACTCCGAATTTCAAGTTGCAGTCCACTTGACGGGACATGTTTATATATTCATATGTGAGGAAACCGGAACCTTCATGTCTTCCGCCTTTATCGGCCGCCCTTTTCAATGTCGAATCATAGAGTCAACGTGGAACGCCAGACGAATGGAATTCTTATCCAAACACCTAAGGCTCCTTCTCACCTGTTTTCTGGGACTGTATTTTTGACTGTATTCAGTTATGACTTTTTAATTCCCCATACGTTAGTCGTTAACCTGGAGTAGATCAGTCTTTTTTGAGACTCGTTGGTTTAAACTGAAAGTTTTTACGAATATTTGGGCCGAAGTCCATTAGCCACAGCGCAATAACTGCGTAATAGTCATAGACTGCCAACAGGCAGCTAGTAGTATATGCATGAGTAGCATGGTATGCCACACTTGACAGCACGGGTACTAGCTAAAAGCCCAGACAGTGTTTCGCGGATATTCTGAGCTGCATAACATAGGTTTGAGGGTTTTGGCTCATCAGTGGGTCCCCCAGCATTTCTCGTGTGCTTTTCTACCAATGCATATGTTGGATTCTAGGCATATTTATGCGAACGTATTCAAAGACAATATGACAACGTTTTAAAAGCCGAAATATGGCTTACTCGCCTTCGTGCAAATAACTAAATGTTTGCGCATTCTTTCCAGGAGAAAAGATCTACTGGATAAAAGCACTAAGGGCGAAATTAAAAAATACACCATGCAAACAGTTACTTTTGTCAAACAGGGAAGATTATTGATCAAGACCCCGCACGGTATCTGTTATGCAAATAAATATTGTAGAACACTTTAACACCACTGTGCGTACAGTGGGTGTGCTAAATCGTGAAATGTTAACCGAAATTCCGAAACGCCTTTTAGTTTCGCAGGGGTTATCTAGGTAGGGTTTAAAATTACTTGTCCTGCAAAACAATTCTATAATAATTTAGTTACCTCGAGATGGCGGATTTCGAAAGAACTTCTTCCCTGTCGCACGCAACAACTATACTCTGTAAAAAGTGACTAAGTAAGTGGCATGTATTTTTCTCATTGATGTTCGATGTCCTTCAGCATTCAATTACATTTCAAGGAAAACATGCAAATAAATGTTCATTCAGTAGAAAATCAGGTCTTATTCCAATTTATTCTCGAAGGATGGGGTGTTTCGGTTTTCTAAAACCTTTCCAACTCCCGAATAATTTCGAACTCGTCCTGCCGTTACATTCGTAGTCAGGGTTTTCAAATCACAAGTCGTATATTTTCCGCGTACGGAAAATCGTACATTTACCTACGGTATTAAGAGGAAAACGTATGGGCTTCACAAAATTTGGTGATGGATTTGAACAATTTTGAAACTTTGCAAACGACATTAGTAAATGCAGAGACATGAAGTTTTATGAACGGACATTTCACGGTATTAAAAAATCTCATGATTAAAAACTTTTTAAAACTGAATTATTCTCTTCCTCCGAGTAAAAATTGAAAGAAGACGTAATTTTCTACCGAATGAGTAAAGAATGAATATTTTCATGCATGTTCTCCATGAAATATAATTGAACTTTTAAGGGCATCAAAAATCGATGATAAAATTCATGCTACTTAATTAGCCATTTTTTGCAGAGTATGGCTTTTGCATGTGGCCAGAAAGAAGTTCGTTCTAAAACTAACATCCCAAGGAACTTGAATTATTATAGAATTTGCTGCTGGATGCTCCGTTTTAAAACCCTACGTAAGTAGTATTTTCTAAACGCAAACACACTTCAAAATTTCGGTTAACATTTCATGAGTTAGCACACCTACTGTATTCTATGACCTCAGTTGGGTTTTCTGGAGTTTCGACAGCTTCAACGTAGGCAACTGTCTCATGAATATCTAAATTATTAGGTTCTTTCGGTTCATACGGATCCCACTCGTTCCATTTTGCCTTATGGTCTCTCTCTCTCTCTCTTTCGAGTCCAACCAGTAGCTGCACAGCGGCGCATGATCTAGGCAGAATGGTAATACCGACAAAGACAAGAGAGACTGGAACGGCCATTTCTGGCCTATTAGCTGTCGTCAGCCAGTCATACCCAACTACGAAGTGTGGAACACCCGAGGTTCGAACTCGCGACCTGTTAGTTAGAAGTCCTCTTGCTGTCAGCCCTACAGTCTTATTCACGTAATCATCAGCAGTTGAAAGTTTAAGTCGGGACCTCGGCGGTTGCTTCACTAGTAGCTTATATTACTGTAAAGATTGTAACTCGCGACATTTTACTGGTCGCTAGCTGAATCCAGGAGAGATGGCCGATTCAAATAGATATCGTTTGGTGGTATACTCAGCTATTCAAAACTTTAACAAAGTGACTTGAATTTTATTGCTGCATTGTGGCATATTCTTTCCTATGGCCCCTATCCTTTGCTCTGATAACCAAATACCTCCCGTGGATTGAAAGAAATTAGGCGCAAAAATTTGCTTCGTCTGTAATATGTTACGGGTCCCCTCATGCTCTGTCGTCGAGTTGACAACCCTTCCAGATACCTGGCGCTGCGCAGTCGCTTGAAAACATCCTTTTGATAAATAGGAAAATTCTGATTTTTTTTAGCCCCCCCCCCCGAGTGTGAGTTTTGAAACTCAGACAAAGATATTTTCTCGGAGTTCGAAATGATTTCTTGCAGATTGTTTCTTGAAATACTAATCAATACTTTCATCTAAGAATACCTATCCCTTAGAATTTAAACAGACATTTTTCGTACAGCCTGCCGTTTAATCGCCGACTGTTACGCAGCTCAGGAAATCCGAAAATCGAGATCTTTATTTTTAAGGGAGCAAAGAATTTAGGTGTTCATTTGACAACTGTAACTGACTTCCGCTTAAAACTTTTTGCACTTCATAAATTCTTTTCAAAACTCACATCGCTAGCAGCTGTCTGACCTACGCGACATTACAAACAATAAGGTTCATGGTGAAGTTTTTCTCATGGATCGCTCTCTATCTTCGTACGGGTCAAGAAAAGGTTGATTAACAATCCGAAAATGTAGGGCAACATTCTCCAGATGGTTCCACAGAACCACCAACGGAAAGGTGAAAGACGTTTTTGTTTTGGCAGTTCAGTAAATGGGATATCTTGCCTGAAAAATCTCTGGCTGCTCTGTTGAAAATGACAAATTTCGAGTCCAAGAGTACCAGTTAGATGACTATTGAATTAGTGAAGTTGTGAACGACGGTCTCGAGCATTACGCATTTTCATGCCAGTCACATAATCTAATAGTAGGTTTTGCAACAAGTATTGAACCCTTTGACTGGCGCCATTGATTCACTAATTGAATTACTGCGTCTGCTTAGAGAAGCACATCAGAGTTAAACGACATCGTAATCCGTTATTTAGATGCGAAAAGTGCAAACTCAAGCAGCCGATCACTTCTGGAACCCCACATGACCCCTTTTAAAACGACAAGGCCTTCTTCCCATGTGCACCTACATGTTCTCCGTTTCTAACGCCCGACCGTGAAGAAAATGCAAAGTTTAAAAGCTCCTAAATCAAATGACGTCAGCTGAGATTGTTTGGTACTTTTTCTCAATTAAATGACCCTGAGACTTCCGAATAAGGCTTGGTGTGGATATCCGCTAGCTGTAACAAGAACTCTTTCCTGTGTGTCAAGTCCTTGCAGTGCGGTGGAAGAG